TGAAATCGAGTTTAACACTCCTGCTGTAAAGGTTTAGGGCCATGAGTGTCCATATATCTGGATTTTTGTTTCCAGTGCTGGTTTATACACAACTCTCAAACAATAGGAACCACAGTAGACATCTCTAATGGAATGCAATATATCAGGGCATATATTTATACTACATTATAATCTGGCTACATATATTGAAAATGGACATTTTTTTCTATATGTTACCTAATCAAGTGAACAAGGGCACACTCAATTCATCTATGAAAGTGGGAGGAGGAGATTTGGCCAAATATCTATTTCAAAGGGGGTCAACTGTGGTGGCTTTTTATTGCTTTAAATTTGAGGCTATGCCAGAATACAGAACCATCCTTCACAAATCAAGAAATAATAAGACATTTCCTTCCTGTTGCACTGCACCCTATGTGACTTTTTTCATTATCATGTTTTCAGATTTTTACAAAGCAAACCTAATTAAGAAGCTCTCTCATTAGTCTTCCAGAAAAATTAGCACAGCTTATGCTAATTGCTCCTGTAAAATTTAATAAACTCATTGAAATGGGAATAGTCTAATGAGGTTTTATTTATTGAACTAGAATAACTATGGGAGAAAAGAGGTTAGGACATAAGAATATCCAATGTGGCAATAAAAATACAATGTATTCCAGTTCTGCCTAGGAATTTTATGGCAAACCTTTTAAATTCAAACTGGAGGCACTGTTGGAACATTCGTCTGTTTGGAATATAGTAACAGGAAGTAGTTTTCTCTTCTTTTTTATTTCTTTTTTTTCCTGCTACTGAATGTGTACTATGGCCCTTGTAATAGAGATGGCTGAATATCAAGTTGTTTTGCATCATTGTGCATCCTCTAAAGATGTGTCACTTCCTCATCTTTATGAAATAACATGCAGTTTTATAGAATGGTGTAGGGGGAGGGTGTCTGAAAAGCATCACTCCTTTAAATAATAGTTGCGAAGCAGATTCTACCCCTTTGTTGCATTTTCTACAAATTGCAGATTGTTTCTCAAATGACAAGCAGGAGAAAATTCACCAAGGATAGCTCTCTGGTATTGAAGGGATGATCTGCTATTATTAGCATTTTGGAGATTAATATATAGTCACCTTTGATACAGTAAGCTTTATAATGTATCACTGGACATTTCACCTTTGGTGTTTTGATGTAAACATTTGTGCTGGAACTTGTACATGAGGTAACCAAAGGATCCCTATGTGTGTAAATGAGTGTCACACACAAACACATTTTCCTGTTAACTACCAGGTTTTTTTTTTTTTTTACTGAATTGGTGAAACATCCTACATTCAGTTTTTACATTTCCAGATATAGTGGCAAAAGTAGATCGTTACAATTCACAACATGGTTTTAAGTCACTTTGACTGCAATTTGTGTGATAAAAGGCACCTCTCCAAAAACATATGAGCTGCATTCACTACCAAACCTATGAGATTCTGCCTCCCCTCCCGCCCCTGCTCCCAATCCATGAACTGCTTTGGCCATGACACAATTCTAGCATGCAGTCCTTTAAATGCAGTCCTTTCCCAGCCTGCCATCTGCAATCTTCAAAAAAAAAAAAATCTAATGCTTTCCAGGTATATTGGGACTATGATCTCACCAATCTCAAGTGCCACAGCCAATGGCCATGTTGACTGGGAATTATGTTCATTGGAGTTCCAACACATCTGGAAGGCACCAGATCAGAGAAGATTAATCAGGAAACAGTTACGAGAGGGGCTCAGAAATCTCTCACTTAATATACAACACTTATCACTCATATTGTGATAAATTAGCGTAAGAGATACATGATAGCAAAAGAAGGTATTATAGAAATATCTACTACCCAACAGAAGAGGATCTATTACAAATAGTAGTAGAAGAGAGTCTAGTACATATATGGGTAGGGGTGGCCACAGGGCATACAGCTGCCCCAGTCCCGAGCTGATGGTCATGCTAATTAATGCTCTGGGGAGCTGAAGTCCAAAATATCTAGAAGATATCAGATCTCTTATCCAGAGATCTGATATAGTTACAAATATATCCTCTACTAACATTTAATCCTGGATATTCACAGCATTTGTAAGAGATTGCTGATATTTATACATCAAAGGTGTTATTCATTCATTTTCAAATAATCTGTTGTAATATATATGTGGTCAGCGTTTGTCCTTACAGAAAGAAAAATTGTTCACCAGGCATTCCTCAAACCAAATTATATAAATGTAGATAAAGGAAGAACATCTATACACAGAAATAGGTACAAGATTTCAATATGGTCTCTTCCTGCTTACATGTAACACCCAAGGTCACCATTTTGTGTTAAAGTTACTTCAGGCCAAATAGGTTGCATATTCTGCCAGGCATAAGTCTTTCCAAACCCTCCTTCTTTATCCTATAAAAGGATCACTTGGCAGTAAACAAACAAACAAACAAAAAAAGCAAACCACAGTTTTGCATATCAATTGGCATAATAGCTTACAATTTTATGCATGCAGGAATGACAGCAGATTGCAACTCAACATATGTTCTGTGGCTCATGACAGCTTTTTAATGTTAACACAATTGGTGAAGTATTCCGTTTTAAATGTGAGTTCCATGCAGATTGCTTTACGTTTTTCAAAATCAAGAGGGGAAAATTACACAAGTAAATGTCACTCATCTCACCAGAGCCACCAACTGTACAAAGCACCTACTTTCTTTTGCGTAAATGTTTGAACTATCCCTGGCCAAGAAAAAGGTTTTAAGTACCCTACTGGGACAGATGCTAAGCGGCAACAATAGAAGCCACACTAATGCAATTCAGGTAACCCAATCCTGTTTCAAAAACACAGGCAAGGCTAATTACAGCTCGGCTGAGTCAAATTTCTTGTGCCACTGCAACCCAGAGGAACAGGTCAAAATCACATGTTATTCAAACCACAGTTATATCAAACTTCTCTATCAAAATCACCACTTGAAACCAAGACAGGAATTTTCAAAGATTAGCTAGTTCATATTCAAAGTGGATGACAAGGCAGCATTTGTAAGAGTAAACTTTACAAAGAAAATAAGCATGATTTTTAGTTTCACACAAAAAATTTATAAACCAGCTAAAATACAGCATGATCCAAGTTCGGTATAACTATGGTATGGGTGGATCTTCAAACCAAGAGCTGTGAGAAAAACAGAAGACAGAAAGGATAGTCTGGATAAAAGAAATCATTTCTTAGTAAAAAGCACAAAACAAGGATGTTTGCCCATATAATATAAGCAACCTCTGAAACACAACCAATCAAGAAACCTTTATTCATCTACATTTCTCAGTGCACTGGAAGTAGAACATATAGTTTATCAGCTTCAAAAAATGAAGGATTTTAAAGCACAGTTTAATATGGGGTTTTATTGTGGTTTCTTCTCAGTTTAAACATAATGGGAATTTATTTTTGTCTGTTTATGTTCTGGAAGAAGGAAAGAGGATTCAATGATCTTTTGAATACAAAAATACAGCAGACAGTGCCGTATTTAAAATTTCAGCTTTCCAATAATTTCTTAATTATTTAGCTATTACAGGAATGCCAGAGTGTGAATCTGGCCTAGAACACAGAACCCACAATGTACCAAAAAAAAAAAAAAGTTTCCTCAATCCTTTACGTGCAATTGATACATCATGTAATACCAACTGAAATTTACTTAAAACATCTACTCACTCTACAAAATCATATAGAGTTTGTTTTTTTTTTAAGGAGAGGGAGAAAACTGTACTAACAGCACAACCAGAGGTAAATTCTGTTGAGTTAAATGGAGCTTCCTCCCTAATATGCATGTTTAGAGTTAGAAACCAAGGCAATTATTGTTTTTACATCATGTTTTCTCGTCACAGAACAACATAGCTTCACTAGTACAACTCAACTAAATATGTTTATTTTTTGAGTTCAAAGAGTTCACAATATGTTTGATGCCTTCCCCTAACCTTATGCTCTCCGGCTATGTTGGACCACAGCTCCCAGAATTCCCAACTGCCTGGCTACAAATCTGGAAATGACAGGCTTAATTCATCTGAAGGGTGCCAATAAGGCAGATCTAGATAATACAACAAGGGCATTTGATTCTACACTGATCCAGCATCCTGCTTAGCTGATGGCGTTCAGTATCAGCTCTGCATGGTCACCTAACTTTCACAGAGTAATTGGTGACACTGTAACAGTTTATCATATGTTTCTGTATGACAAGTTTCAATAATTAAAATGTAAAGAAGACTATTTGGTGACAGCATGGCCTAATTTGCAAGCCTGCTGTGTGCAAATTATATAGGCCAACTAGGTGAATTTATTGTTCTATAGTGATTTATTTGGTCATGCCAGATTAGTAATTTGGGTCTGTTTAGAAGCCATAATAATTAAGACAAAATGAATTAATCAACTAACAATACAATCAAAACTGCACTCAAACCAAAGAAAACAAGCTGGAGACTTAAAGGAGAAGGAAGAGAAAAAGAGACTTATCTTAAAGTTTGCCAATCTCTTATTGCACAAATAAAATAAACCTTACAATTTAGATGGATTGCATCCAAGAGCACTACTGTAGCTAAAAAGTGATAATGCTTCAAACATTTTTCAAAAGTAAAAAGTTAAATATTTATAAGCACCCAACCACATTTCATAAATTGCTAACTTATTATTTTATATACCCAATGTTTTCACAGGCACAGCATGCAAATCAAGGCACGGAAAGTTGCAGAGAAAAATATTATCCACATGAACATGAATCAGAGTTTCTCACCAGAACTATCCACCAAGACTTCTTTCCCCCAGCTCCACCCCATCTGGCCTTTCCCAAAGAAACAAAACCTCACAACCTCGCTAATTCCAAAACAAACCACAAAATGACGCTCACAGACAAGCATCGCTCTTCGGCCATTAGCAATACAGGACAGACGTTCCAGTAATAATGTGGCGCAACGAACAAACAGACAAATACACCCTCTCAAAATAAATCTACACCAAAGAACGGCAGCCCTTACCTGTCAATTATCACAGGATCTGAAGGAGTCTCATTTCTGTTGCCGCAGCTTTTCTTGTCACAACAGCGGCTATGGAGCAAGAAGGAGAGGATTTAGTGCAGCTATTACACTCTAAAAACCATCATTACAGATACAGAAAGGATGGTATTGCTGGCTAGAGTTACCGCTCTCTCCTTGCTTGGAAATCAGTTGAATACAATAGGTCACATATGGGTTAATTACTAGGTTTGACTTCTTTCACAGCTGGCACACAACAACTGCCACATACACTCAGAAAAGGGAAAAGGAAGAGCACAACTTTACAGTTCATAATGCTAGGTTTCTAGGCTGATACTAATGACCTCCAAGTACATTGCAGATGGTTCAAGGTGCCCTCAAACAAGAGTAGTAGCAGCCACCCACAGGGAAGCAAAAAAAAAAATAGATTCTGTGCAATGAATTTTTGCCCTTCAAAATCTTGAAAATCTCAGTGTTTTCCAAATGAACAAACATGATTCCAGAAATCTTTGTGAATGAAAAGAGCAAAAAGATGCCCAGAATCCCAGATAGTGAGACAACAACTTTTTAAAAAGCATAGCAAATGTAATATATGCCCAGAGATATTTATTTAAACTAAATAAAATAATTAAATAAATGCAACGTGGCAGATCTGCATTTACAGTCCTGTTGCATACCATAATACAGTTCCATACATGATATAATTCTGCTCCAACACCCCCTCATCCTACCCCAAGTGCTGAAAAATGATCAGATTGCATGGTTGGTTGGCTGGTTTTTTTTCCCCACTGTTGCTATTCTGGGAAACTTATCGTATTTACTCGAAAAGAAGATAAAGCTCAGTTAAACATACACACACACACTAAGATTATATTTTAAAAGCCTAATTTTCTATTAATGAAGTGAAACTAAAATTAATCTGACTTCCATCATAAATGTAAATTGTTGGGGAAAGGGGACATTTATTTATTTTTTCTTTCAGATGAATACAGTAAATGCCAGGACTATTATACCATTTGGTAAAATCAGCAAAGCCAGAATAGAATCCCTATTCCTCCTCTTTTCATTGAGCAAATAAGGGAAGATTTTAGTTCATAAATACTAAAAAATAAGGCACAAACAAAATCTGGTTAGTAACATAAGTCTTGCAAAAATTTAGCACTTTCTGTAACCCTATTCTAATTTTGTAATAGTTTGGCTTCTCTTTCTCATAAGATGACTCTCTCAACCAGGTGCCATGACCTTTGCTATTGAAGATAATGGGAATTAATATCAAGAGTGGTATCTTAGGGAAAATATTAATGAAGCAAAACACAGAGAAATAATTCAGAGTCATTTCACACCAGGCCAGTTCTCATATTGGACTAAGCCTGAAAGCTGGTTTAGAAGTGAATTCCCATGCATACTAGCTGGTTTGGTCCATAAGTTCATATAACCTGGTAGCCAAGTGGAGGATTCTTCTATCTAGGAGAAGGCAAAGACTTGTCCAGGAAGTTGCCAGGAATCAAGACTAATTGAAAGGCAAAGAAGAAGACAGACAAGGAGGAGGAAAAGGAGGTGGCAGCTAAAACCTCAACAACTCTCAGAAACAAGCAAAGAAATAACAGAACAACAGATTTGGAAGTGACCTTGAGGTCTTCTAGCCCAACTCCCTGCTCAAGATTCTAGATTAACAGAGATGGAAGGGACCTTGTAGGTCATCTAGTCCAACCCCTCTCTCAAGCAGAAAGACCCTCCACCATTTCTGACAAATGGCAGTCCAATCTCTTCTTGAAAGCCTCCAGTGATGAAGTCCCTACAACTTCTGAAGGCAAGCTCTTCCATTGGTTGATTGTTCTCACTGTCACAAAATTTCTCATTTCTATATTGACTCTCTCCTTCCATCCATTACTCTTTATCTGGCCTTCAGGTGCTTTGGAAAATAGGTTGACCACTTCCTCTCTGCGGCAGCTTCTCAAATATTGGAACACTGCTAGTAATAGTTCTCCAATCTTTTCTTAAAAGCCTCCAGTGATGGAGCACCCACAAATAAATAAAATAAATAAGAAATGAATCATATATTATTGTTTCAAGCACCTTTTAAAATTCTAGATAATTGGAAAATTAATAAGTTAACAGTGAATGAAAACATTAGCTTCAGTTTATAGCAGACAAAGAAAAATCCACTTTGAGATCCACTCTAGAACTTACTCATCATTTTTTATTTTAAGCAGGTGTCTAAAGAATGAACAGTGAGGTAGACAGGTTTGTACCTCATTGTAATTGTAAGTGTGTCAGGTAGTTTTAGGTAAGTTATTTCCTCGAAACCTGTCCCTCCACAGACATATATATAAGAGCTATGAAATTCTAGAAAATTATTCATCACATTAATATGTCATTAGGAATCAAATTGAATACAGAAAATGGATTAGGAGCACATTCTCACGATGAGCCAAGTGTACAGCACATGTTGTAAATACGTTTCTGAAGTTATTTCTGCTACTTTCCACACTTGCAAAGCAGCATAAGGTAGCATGAGAACATGTTCTCCTTCCTGTGAAAGGAACTATGGCTTACAATGAAGCAGAATGAAATTATAACACAGTTTGGTTTTCCAATCCGACTCATCTATGATTTTTCCTCTCTAACATGTTCTTCTTTTGTTTCCTTCTCTTCAGAGGATCCCTATTATCCGTGACTATTCCATTTTGATGATTATAAACTTATAGTTTTATTATATTGTTAGTCTTGATCAAAGGCACTGTTGAAAGTTGTTTAGGAATTATGTATCTATAACAAGCTATTTTGAAGCACAGGCCTTCACTGTTTCATTTCTGGAATGAAGAAATTTCATCTTAGAGAGAGCAAGCTGTCTTTCACACCATATGGCTAATGGTAGTGCATAGCAATTAGTTGGGCTGATTAATGGGGAACAGACTCTAATTTTATGCTTATAATTGAAACTGCATTTGGACCCCTGTTGCAGATTCAGCACATCCCAATCTGCACTTACAACAGTTAGAAAGCCAGTGGCAGCAAATTGAGGAATGTGTAAGCAACAAAAACCAAGTTTCCTTATTTGTCAAAAAATATGGTTGCAAAACAATCGATCAGAGATTTGTGGGATAACATTAGGCAGCCTCATACAAGTACACTATTATGACCTTCTGGAAACACCTCTGAACACTAAAATTGAACCAAGATATTTTAAGATACTAGTTTCTTGTTTTAAGTAAATATCAGGATGGGGTTTTTTTTTTCCAGTTTGCTCATATGGCTTTGCAAAGCAGAGAAAAACAGAAAGATCATTGAGAATAACAATACACATGATAGCAACATTGAATAAAGGGTTTTCAAGACAAGAGACATCAGCAGCATTGGAACTGTTTGCCAATGTAAATGTAGCTGAACTAATCATGGATTTTTCCCTAAACTATGAATAGCTCTATATCTTACCTCCACCTTCACTGTTTTTATTGTAATGCTAATTTCTTATTATATACTATGTAGGACTTGTTTTTATTAAATCTCTATGACTATGTGAGGCACTATATAAATGCATAAACAAATAATAAACTTGGATGACACTGGAAATGTATGTATGTATGTACTCAGACACTTTTTGGCATACCAGATTCTGTTGACACAACACTTGAGGATTTTGGTGGATGCTAAAATTCTACACAGAAGTAATGGGAAATTGTCCTACTATCTTAAAAAAAAAACATAAGGCAAGCAACTCTCCAATAAATGTATTCATACACTTACAACAAGCCAAATGAAGAATACTAAGACTAAGTGTTTACTAGACAATTATCTCCTATTTTTTTAATTAACAGCAGAAACTTGGACATCTACTAAAAACCTGCCAAATATTTACCAATTCACATTCTGCCCAATCCTTTTTCTGCGATATTAGTTAATCCACCCATGTTAATGTCATCAACAGCACTTACTGACCTTTCCCCAACTTTTCTTTTGTTCAAAACTTTCTGAACATGATAAATAATATCAAAACAAAGAATAGTGTTCCTTATGTTGTATGTTCCTTATGTTCACTCCAGGAACTGCTTAATGAATTTTACTTTGTATAGTACAATTGCTAGTCACAAATCCATGAAGTTACCCCAGAAACTTTAAACTAGAAACAGATAAACATCGTTCAAGAATACAAAAACATCTAATAAGTACATATATTGTAAGAGAGCTAAGAGGTCATTATTAAAGAATGGCAACAACTGCTGCATATCAAAATGAGTCCTATTTATAGGAAAATCAAGTTTCAAAATTCTTGCACCTCCCCCTGCGCAGTGCAACATGGTAGATGATTTTTTCTTTTGTGTGGGAGACCCGTTTTCCATCAGTCTTGTTTGAGGTAATGGATTGCTTTATTATCAAACTTTTTACTCTTGCCTGTGTGAGAACTAGCTCTCACACATCATCTAGCTTACTACATTTCCCTCTATTGGATTTCTGCCTATCACCTAAGAAAAATATAGTTTGTGGCCAAAAAAACTGAGTATCAATTGTATAAGAGGCCACATTTCACTTTGAGAAGTCAGACCATTACTGCTGAGTACTTTAACTAGATTTTTTTTTAATTAGGATGTGTTAAATAAATCATAATGGCCTGATTTCACACACAATTTAAACCCAGATTGAGTGGGTTCACAAATCACAATAAGCCAACAACAACAAAAAACCCTCAACAACCCATTATAATTTAACTGGATATATACATTCAGTCACTGAATCATACTTCAGATTACTTAATCTGGAAAACATTCTTTCCTTTAGAATTTCATTATATGAATAACTATTGAAATATATGAGAATGCTAATTTCATGTAAATGTTGAGCCACAACCAATAAAGTACACCGATGAGCCTTACTAAGATTATAAAAAGCAAACTTTCTCAAACTTGTGCTCTATGGTTGTGTTTGATGCAACTCTTCTTAACCCTGGACAACTTGGATTTAAAAAAAAATGTTTTCAAAAGCAACAAAAAGACACTAGGCTGAGGGAACTTATTAAGCAGTCCAAAAGGAAGGAGGGGCTGATTGTGGCCTATTCTTTTAGCACAATTTCTATAATTTGTGCACTTGTATTTTAAAAAAGTAATCCATGTTTTCATTCTTGAAATCAGCAGCTGTCACAATTCATGCCACCGAGCATATCTGAGCTGCTGATTGTTGCTGATTTCGCTACTCTTCATAGCTACACAAACCAATTCAACCACTGGCTACTGAAGTATGATCCTTCATCATCCCCAAAGATGAAATGCATATCTGTTGATTAAAAGGAGAAGATTTGTGCTTGAAATCACCTAAGGAGGAGTGCTCTTGCTCAGTTCACTTTATACCTGATTCTAAGAAGCTGGGTCTGAATCAGTGGTGGGATTCAAAAAATTTTACTACTGGTTCTTGTGGGCGTGCCTTGGTGGGCATGGCTTGGCTTGGTGGGTGTGGCTTGATGGGCGTGACAGGGGAAAGATACTGCAAAATCTCCATTCCCTCCCCACTCCTGGAGGAAGTTTACTGTAAAATCCCCATTCTCTCCTCACCCCACTAACCTGCTTTCCAGCTCTGTTCTCCTGTGCAGGGCAACAAAAGAAGACCCAGCCAATCAGCTGGGACTTGGGAAGCAGAGAATAGATGGGGGTGGGGCCAGTCAGAGGTGGTATTTGCCGGTTCTCCCAACTAGTCAAAATGTCCACTACTGGTTCTCCAGAACTGGTCAGAACCTGCTGAATGCTACCTCTGGTCTGAATACAGAGTCACATAGAAAGTTGGGAAAGAGGGATACACAACACACATAACCTTTCCATAGATCCAACAGCCTCTTCCCAAATGCTTCAAAAGAGTCTGCTTGGATTGAGCAACCAATAAACTTAAATAAACAAATAATAAAAATGTGGCTAAGTATGTTAATGAGATTGGTCCTATCGATAGCAAGAAATCACAGTAACCTTATAAGCACAAAAAAGTCTGCAGCATCCAGGCCCTTTGGACAAGTAAAGTAGGTAGTCCTGCAGGTAGTCCTCAACTTACAACTATTCATTTAGCAACCGCTCAAAGTTACAAAAGCACTGAAAAAATTACTTACAACTGGTCCTCGCATTTATGACAATCACAGCATCCCCATGGTCACATGATCAAACTTTGGATGTTTGGCAACCAGCTTGTATGTATGATGGTTGCAGTGTCCTATGGTCATGGGTTCACCATCTGTGACCTTCCCAGACATTTTCCAAGTCGAGGAACCTGGATTCACTTAATGAACACATGACTCACTTAACAACTACAGTAATTCACTTAAGGTTGTAGAACCAGGTGCAACTCACTTAATGACCACCTTGTTTAGCAACAGAAATTCTGGTTCCAACTGTGGTTGTAAGTCGAGGTATAGATCTTCTTCTATGGCTCACAGACTTCTTTTCACTCTGCCCCCATTATGTCCTTCATAAGTAGTCTATAAGACACATCCTTGCAGAAAATAAGGGCCATGCTCTTGTTTACCTTAAGTATCAAAGGCTGTTATGAAAACAATGGCCTAATGGTTATAATTTTCCTAGTGAAGGTCATGTTGGATAAATGCTGATAAGTATTTACATTTTGGATGTGTTCTCTCTCTCTCTCTCTCCCTCCCTCCCTCCCTCCCTCCCTCCCTCTCTCCTCCTCTCTCTCCCTCTCCCTCTCTCATCAGAAACATTTTCCATGAGGATAAAGGTTCTAATCACTAAATGGCAGTTTTTGCCATATTATTCAAGATTAAGCTCCAAATGGGTCTTTGAAACTAGATCACTTAGTGACACGTTTGCTGAGAGAGAGAGAGAGAGAGGGAGAGGGAGAGAGAGAGAGAGAGAGAGAGAGAGAGAGAGAGAGAGAGAGAGTCTTTGCTAATTAAGATACAACAGAATTTTTTCTTACCTGCACATTATTTCATGGGTGAGCAGAACTCTGCACATTTCTGGATTCTTGTCTTGGCCTTCATATACTATCGCCTAGAGGAAAAAGACAGAGGAATTTTACCTGAATAGTTTTTTTTGTTTTGTTTTTGGTCACAAAGTCAATATAGTTGGAGAAAATGATCATTGTCATGGGACATGAATGCATAACTACATTGCAAACCAGCGACTTTGGCATAAACAGACTGCATCCTTGAGGAGAAAAATAAAAACACAAAAACCCCGCCTCAGGATTTGTTGCTAGAGAGCCCAGAAGCTGAACTGAGCAAGCTTCAATTCAGCATTCTCGCTTGTAACCATCATATTATGCACATCTCCTGAGCGGTGCACAGGACAGGGTTTTTTAGTAGTCAAGACAACCACATGTTCTTTTCAATAAAACATAAACTTAATAGTGTTAAAAAAAAACTCGAAAGACTCAGAACACTAGGGAGACTATTCATAAAATGAAAAGTGACTATATTTTTAATTCAAAAAAACATGGTTGTGTACTTAACTAGCTACAGCTTGTGTACAGAACCTGATTCACAACTCCTGTCTGGTTAAATGTGCTAATAAATTAAAGGAAACTACATTCCTGTAAATGCAAATAAACAAGTTCTAGAAAACAAGAGGATAAAGCAGGAGAGGCCTTTCAGTATCCTTTGAGCCTTGTCAATATAAAGAACTAACTTCTAGACCAGGGTGTCAAACTCGCAGCCCACGGACCAGATGTGCCACATGCCGGCCCTGGCCCGGCCCGGTTTAGCAAAGGGGAAAAAAGTCCTGATACGTCACATGACGACACCATGACGATGCAAGTGTGACACCCCTGTTCTAAACCAATGTTTCTCAAACTTGGCAGCTTGAAGATAGGCAGACTTCAACTCCCAAAATTCCCTAGCCAAGCCAATTACTGAGCACAGCTAAAAAAGATAAGCTACTCCATCTTGTGCTTTGGTGGCTGTCTTGGATTAAGCAGTCAAGAACTGACCGTCTTTTGGCTCCAGTTTCTTCTGTCTATATTTCTTAGCTTTACTCACTGGCAGGCAAAGACAAAAAAGATTGGTCCCAGGGGTGGGCTGCTGGGGGTTTGCAGGGGTTCAGGAGAGCCTCTAGCTAAGATTCTGTGCATCCCACTCCTGGCTGGCCACACCCACCCTGCCCCTCCCCTCCCAGGAGTCCCCACGCAGCCCGCAAGTAAGTACAGGGTGCCTGCGGAGGCTTGGGGACAGTGAAGAACGGGCCTCCCAGAAGTTCAGGAAGGCTGAAAATGGGCCCGTTTTCAGCTTTCAGAGAGCCTCCGGAACCCGGGGAGACCATTTTCACCCCCTCCCACCATGGTCCAGGAGGCTGACTAGGCCACACCCACTCAGCAACCGGGCAGAGAACCCTTTGCTAAAATTTGTGAAGCCCACCCCTGATCTGTCCCCTTGTAATCTTAAGAATTCTGTTTTATTGTGATTGTGTGAACACAGCTATAGTGACCACAGGGCAAAGAAACTCTGTACTTGCTTGTTTTGGCTTAGTTTTGAAATGTGAGTTCACCCACTGGGATTTTGCACTGTGTGAGAACCAGCCATTATGGTCTGCTCAGTATGCTGTGGCTTAAAAACTCCTACTTTAGAAGCCACAAGGGAAACCTGGATTCCCCCCCACCTCCACAAGTTCAGTTGTGAATTGGAAGTTAATGCTTCCAATGTCCCCCTGCACTCTACTATATGAAGTCAGTGGCAGACAGAGGTTGGACTCTATGATTCTGTAAAATGAACACATAGGAATAGACTGTGAACATTTTTTTTAAAAAAGAGGCCATTTAGCCAAATGCAGGTTTTCCAGTGGCAATTACACTCTACAACTTAGGCAATATTTATCTACATGGCAACCACAGATTCTTGCATTATGCATACTTGCATTATGTTATACTATACTATGCTTGCATTATATACAACACCGAACCATCACATGGCTCTGCATACAACTATTTTGTCAATGGGCTGGGAAAGGAGAAATCTTCCTGGCAGCCCCCACCCGCTCCCTAGAAAATGGTTTGCTGTGCAACTATCAGCAAGCCCAAATGGGCACGGGTTTCGCCTGATAAATGCCAACCAAACTGCCAATAAAGAACCGAGGCAAAGGACATGGCACCTATTGGCCAAACGAAAGGAAAAGGCCATTTTGCTGAAATGTCTAGCAAGCACTTTATTGAGGTCCAATAAAAAATGGCAAACAGATTCATGCAGGGAACACCGCTGTGCAGAAGCAGATATTTTTCCCCAGGCTGAAGATCACATTTGCAATACTTAACCTTTCCTGCCATCTTGGTACCTTGTTAAAAGTTGACCATTAGTGAGCGCCTTTTACTAGGATAAGCAGTTACACTGGAGGGCAGGGCTCCTGTGTTTTTTCTTTATTAGCATTCCCCAAGTTCGTTATGCCAGATAGGAAAAGAGGCCTCTTCTCATATTTGCTCCTCCTCAAGGCAACAGATGAAGGAATATAACCCTTCTTTTTCTGTTTATATGACACACATTGCATCTTCTCCCATTTCAAATCTTTCCTAATTTGCTCACAGTTCATATGTCAAAAGAAAGAGAAGTTGGTGGTTTTTTCCTAGTTTATTTTTAATGCCTCCATTATAAATGCAATGACATTTCTAATCTCCAAAACACTTCAGGAATCATAAACATTAGTGCACAATCGTGCCTACCATCCCTGTCCTATTGTTCCCAATTATTAGTTCCTATTTCTTGTATTTAAACTTATGTTTATTCTTGTTTCTGTTATATTGTAAGCTTTTGATAAATAAACAAACAAGTAAATAAATAAATAAATAAATCACCTATGTTCTCTAGAATGTAAAACCTGATAAAATGCCACTTCCATCAGCCCAAAGTCCTCCTACAGGTAGTGCTCAATTTATAACAGTTCATTTAGTGACCGAAGTTACAATGGCACTGAAAAATGTGACTTATGAAGGTTTTTCACACTCAGGACCACTACAGCGTCCCTATGGGCACATGATCAAAATCCAGACGTTTGGCAATTGATTCATATTTATGACGGCTGCAGTGTCCCTGCTTCATGTAATCACCTTTTACGACCTTCTGAGAAGCAGTCAATGGGGAAGGCAGATTCACTTAACAATCATGCTACTAATTTAAGAACTGCAGTGATTCGCTTAACAACTGTGACAAGAAAGGTCATAAAATGAGGCAAAACTCAATAACTGTCTTGCTTAACAACAGACATTTTGGTCCCAATTGTGGTCATAAGTTGAGGACTACCTGTACTGACTCAGCCTTCCATCCTTATAAGGTCAGTAAAATGAGGACCCAGATTGTTGGGAGCAATAGGCTGACTCTGTAAACTGCTGAAAGAGGGTTGTAAAGCACTATGCAGTGGTATATACGTCTAAGTGCTATTGCTACTATATCCAGATAATTCTCTTTCTTAAATAAACTTTTAAATTAGTTACCTACCTGGGAGAACTTGGTCCATTCAACTGCTCAAGGGTGAACAATCCTCAAGGATCCTACTCTTTCAAAATTCATCTAAGCCTTTTTTTTTTTTTTTGCCTTTAAAATATAGTAAGAATTTGGGAATCTGCATCTCTTTGCTTACATTCAGGTATTTTACAACTCAGTATAGTTGATGTTGCGGTCCTGATTGCGCTCAGCTAGAAGACATTTCCATATTATCTGATGCCAACAGCATCATTCAGTCTTCTTTGGCACATCCTTGTTAAAGAAATAGAAGATCAAAATCCCACCTTTCAGACCAATGCCTCTGGTTACGGCCTCTTTAACATAAACAATCAATAAAACTCTCTACTACGTGTGGAGGTGGTGGGGGGGAGGGCTAAATTTAAACAGCCTTGGCCAACAAGCAGAAGCATCACATAACCCATAAAATGAGGTAATTTGGCACAGCTGTGACTTTGCCGTTGAAAATGCTGCCCACTGAAGGCAAGAGGAAAAAGGAAGGGGGGCAGCACAGCAGTCATGAATCTCAGCCAGCGAAAGTAATTGCTTAAACATAGTATTATCACACTCCAGCACAGTACACTATATTTTAATATGATTTAGTAGTGCCATAAATAATAGCATTGATGTTGCTGTAGTTTTGTACAGCGTTGGATGCCAACCTTACTTTTTGAAAAGAGAAACTCAAATGTAGCCTAAACAGCAGAGAGCTTGAGATCCGGAAGATATTAGGAATCTAACTCTGTACCCTTCCAACCTTGAAGAGGGCTTGGTGCCCCAATATTCCATGCCACTCATTCTATTCTCAGTGTATTTAGCATTTCTTGAAACTTGCAATAGTCCCTGCCATCCCGCTGAGCTTGTTTGGAGAGTCTAACAAGGGACCGCAGGATCATCTTGCCACTCAGGAGCAAATGGGGGGGAAATCATCCCCTTCTAAGTGGCCCCTGCTCAGAATACCTCACATCTTAAAAGCAAATGCTTGCTACATAAGTAAGAGCACGTACAGGAACACAACTAAACTGGGATGTTTTCAGTTGAACAAGAGGCCAGGATTATGGCTTCTCCTATGACCCGTCCAATGTGGGCAGAAGTGGTCACTGAACTCCCAACAGGAGACCTTGAGCTTCAGAGCTGAAGAAGCTTCTCGGATGAGAAGCAAAACATCTTCAAAGAAAAGCCAGACAATCCCAAAGCACCTTTGGGACAACTATGACCTGGACGACTGGGAATCTCCATAGACAGTGGACCCTGAGGTTCAAAGTGTTAGTGGTGATCCAGCAACCACTTGCAAAGGGGAGATTTCTGAGGTACAGCCAAAAGTTTGTGTGTAAAGATGTTGGCATGCTTATACATTATCATGATACACTAGAACATCTCCAAATAATTACAAACATGTAGGAGATGACCAGGCTGAGCCCAAATGAGATCTATGTCCAGCCCCTCTTGAATTTTGTTGACTCTTATCTACCACCGATTTGCTTGGACTGTTAGTATTTCAGATTCTTGTAGAGAGCTTTAGCTTACAATAAACCTATATATTCATTTGAACTACCTAAACATCTGATTTCC